AACTCAAAATGGATCAAAGACTTAAACATAAGACAAGATACAATAAACCTCCTAAAAGAAAATATAGGCAAAACATTATCTGGCATACATCTCAAAAATGCTGTCCTAGGGCAGTCTACCCAAGCAATAGAAATAAAAGCAAGAATAAACAAATGGGACCTGATGACACTTACAAGCTTCTGCACAGGAAAGGAAACCATAAGCAAACAAAACGACAACCTACGGAATGGGAGAAAATGTTTGCAAATGAAACCGACAAAGGCTTGATCTCCAGAATATATAAGCAGCTCATACGACTTAATAAGAAAGAAACAAACAGCCCCATCCAAAAATGGGCAGAAGACCTAAACAAGCAATTCTCCAAGAAGACATACAGATTATCAATAGGCACATGAAAAAATGCTCAATATTACTAATTATCAGAGAAATGCAAATCAAAACTGCAATGAGGTATCACCTCACACCGGTCAGAATGGCCATCATTCAAAAGTCCACAAATGACAAATGCTGGAGAGGCTGTGGAGAACGGGGAACCCTCCTGCACTGCTGGTGGGAGTGCAGTTTGGTGCAGCCACTGTGGAAAACAGTATGGAGATTCCTCAAAAGACTAGGAATAGACTTACCATATGACCCAGGAATCCCACTCCTGGGCATATATCCAGAAGGAACCGTACTTCAAAAAGACACCTGCGCCCAAATGTTCATAGCAGCACTATTTACAATAGCCAAGACATGGAGACAGCCTAAATGTCCATCAACAGATGACTGGATAAAGAAGATGTGGTGTATTTATACCATGGATTACTATTCAGCCATAAAAACCGACAACATAACGCCATTTGCAGCAACATGGATGCTCCTAGAGAATGTCATTCTAAGTGAAGTAAGCCAGAAAGAGAAAGAAAAATACCATATGAGATCGCTCATATGTGGAATACTAAAAAAAAAAAACAAAATATAAATACAAAACAGAAACAGACTCATAGACATAGAATACAAACTTGTGGTTGCCAAGGGGGTGGAGGGTGGGAAGGGACAGACTGGGATTTAAAACATAGAATAGATAAATAAGATTATACTGTATAGCACAGGGAAATATATACAAGATCTTATGGTAGCTCACAGAGAAAAAAATGTGACAATGAATATACATATGTTCATGTATAACTGAAAAATTGTGCTCTACACTGGAATTTGACACAACATTGTAAAATGACTATAACTCAACAAAAAAAAAAGTTAAAAAAAAAGTAAAGGAATTCTGACCACACACCACAGCATGGATGGAGCTTGAAGACACGATGCTCAGTGAAATAAGCCAGACACAGAAGGACAAATGCTGTCTGATCCCACTCACAGGAGAATGGAGAGGAGTCAAATCCACAGAGACAGGAAGTAGACGGTGGGGCCAGGGGCTGGGGAGGGGATGGGGAGTGAGTGTTTAACGGGACGGAGTTTCAGTTTGAGAAGATGAGAAAGTGCCATTGAACCGAGCACTTAAAAATGGTTATGATGGCAAATTTTATGTTATATACATGTTACTTCAATGTAAAAAAAAAGTTAAAAAAAAAGGACTCAGGGCAGTTGGAGGTGGGGTGCCCAGCAGGTGTTGTGGAGATGAACTGTGCAGGGCAGAGTTGGCAGCAGCGGGGCTGGCAGTCGAGTTGGGGGATTCGAGGGGCAGGCAGAGTCTGGGGCCGGGATGTGGGGTCACCAGGAGCCATGAGCGGATGCGGAGCAGGGGAGGAGCCGGGGAAGGAAACTCATAAGGAAGTAGAGCCAGGTCCACGCACACGGGACGCAAGCGTCCGCTGAGTCACAAATCCCGGAAGCTCAGGGTCATGGAGAGGAAACTCTGCTGGTCCACGCAAGGCCTTCCTGTTTTTTGGCCCTGAATCCTCCAGGGCCAAAGTTCCCACCTCACGTCCACCTCCCCCGGTTCGGAATCCCTGAGCCTCAAGGCCTGCGCAGGGCTTGGAGATGTCCCTGCTGCTCAAACAGGGAAACTGAGGCATGGGGTTCGCCCAGGACTTCCCAGAAGGACGAGGCTGCGGGTTTCTTACTGGGGCCTCTGGACTGCACCCTTTCTGGAAAGGGTGTGGAGGGCTGGGTTCCAGAGGGTGAGTTCTGCTCACACTTCCACCAACCAGATCATCGCTGGGGGTGTAGGGTTGGGGCAGGGGTGGGGGTGGTGTCTCTGCTCTGCACACCTGGAAGGTTCTTCAAATTCTCTTGATTGAGAGTGGGGTACAGGCCTCCAGAGAGGCAGTGAGGCTCCTGTCACAGAGGTATGTGAGCAGAGGGCAGGAAGGCTGGACCCAGGAAGGAAGTCGGACTTACCGGGCCTCTGAAGTTCCTGGCCAGCTGGAATATTCTGTGATTCTAAATTATTGCTGTTCCCAGATTGTGGTTTACAAAATTCCAAGAGCCTTTAAATTTTTTTTAAAAAGTGTTTGGGGGGAGGGAATTAGGTTTATTTATTTGTATTTATTTAGTAATAGAGGCCTTGGGGGTTGAACCCAGGACCGCGTGCCTGCTAACACAGGCTCCACCGCTGAGCTAGGCCCTCTCCCCCTTGAATTTTTTTTGAGCCTCTCAAGATCTTTGTGTTTTAATGCTAGTAATCCTTAGCATATGCTCTGAGATTGAATTTTTAAATATATTTTGAAATGTATCTATTATTATTCATTGGAAACCATTTGTTAAATTATTTAAATATTCTCATTAGTAGTAATTTTTTGTAGGCCGTTTCCCGAGCTTTCATTAGTGTGGTCAGAGGTTGTCCTGGTAAGTAACAAGTGGCGGTATTGTTACTGTCGTTGCCCTGATTGTTGTTATGTTTAAATTATTATCCCAGTGGGGGATTTTTCTGGGAATTGAAGGTCTTGGCCTCTGTGGCCCTCTGCTGGCGACAGCCGGGACTACAAGCCGCGCTGCTCACCGCGCAGCTCACCGCCCCTCCCCTTGTTCGCAGGTGTCACCTCCCGTCGCCCTGACCTCGCCATGCGGACCCCGCGAGCGCCCCCTCCCCGCCCGGCCCTACTGCTCCTGCTGCTGCTACTGGGAGGCGCCCGCGGCCTCTTCCCCGAGGAGCCGCCGCCGCTCAGCGTGGCCCCCAGGGACTGTGAGTGGGAGTCCTGGAGAGGGGGAGTCCCGAGGGTGGGTCTTGCTCCGCAGCTGGATCTGCTGCCCCCTTCCCCCCGGGGGCTCACCAGGCCAGGCTCCCCCCAGCCCTAGATCACACCCCTCCCCGCCCTCCCCCAGACCTGAACCACTATCCCGTATTCGTGGGCCTCGGGCCGGGACGCCTGACCCCCTCAGAGGGCGCTGACGATCTCAACATCCAGCGGGTTCTGCGGGTCAACAGAACGCTGTTCATCGGGGACAGGTATGAGGGGCTGTCCGGGAGAGGGTGCAGGGTGAGGTGTGGGGAGCAGGTGGTAGCATTTTAGGGAGGTTTGCATGATAGGGCTTGTTGTTTGGCTGGAGTGAATGTGTGTCCTGGGAGTGGGAGTTTTAAGGGTGCTGAACTCTGGGTGTGGTTGGAGCCCAGAGCTTGCTATGGTGTGTTACCAGGTGGGGACAGCTATTTGGTCAAAATTTACTGGGTGCCTACAGAAAGTGTTGAAGTGCCACCCCAAGGGCTTCTCTGAGAAGGTGACATTTGAGTTTAGACCTGAATGATGAGGAGCCAGCCATGAGGAAATCTGGGGAAGAGGGAGAAATCAGGGCAGCGGACTCAGCTGGTGCAAAGGCCCTGGGGCAGGACTGTGCCTGAAATGGTGGAGGGACAGCAAGGAGATCCTGTGGCTGGAGCAGAGTGGGCGAGGGAGAGAGAGGGAGGAGGTGAGGGCAGGGAGGGGACAGGGCAGGTGGTGCAGGGCCTTATGGGCGGCAGTGAGGACTTGGTCTTGTACCTCAAAGGAGATGGGAGCCCTGGAGGGCTGGGGGCAGAGGGGTGCAGGGCCTGACTTTGGTGCTCACAGGCTCTCTCTGGTGGCTGCTTTGGGGAGGGCGGACTGTGGAGGCAAAGGTGGAAGCCACCAGACCAGGGCAGAGGGGACTATGCTCGTCTAGGTGGGCATTAATGGGGACTGGACTAGGGTGGTGGCTGTAGAGGATGTGAGAAGTAGGTGAACTCCAGATAGATATTGGAAGCAGAGCTGACAGTATTGGCTGATGTGTGGGAGGGAAGGGGAAGAGGGGAGTTGAGGGTGACTCCCAAGTTGTGGCTTGTGCCCCTGGAAGGACAGAACTGCCTCAGCCGAGATGGGGGACACGGTTGGAGCAGGTCTGGGAGATGGTCGGGTGCAGCGTGGCCAAGTTGAGTGTGAGACATCTGTGAGCCCTCCTCACAGAGACCTCGAGGGTTAGCTGGATTCCAAGTCTGGAGCTCAGGGGAGGCCCTGGGTGGAGACAGGACTGTGGATGTGTTCCGGGCATAGATGCAGTTCCAGCCTTGAGAGTGGACCAGGCTACCCAGGAGGGGCATGGATGGGGAAGGGAAGAACCCGGAGCACAGGGTCCAGGGACGCAGTGAGGATGGAGTTCCCAGGACAAGGGTGGACTGGCCATGTCAGACACTGTGGAGAGGGGGAGGAGGACAGAGAAATGACCACTGGACTTAACAATGGTCAATGACCGTGATCAGGTCAGTTTCTGGGCATGGGGGGAGGGGTGAGATCCTGGGAGTGACCGAGGGATGCTGAAGGGCAGAGATCTGATGTAAAGGCATCTGATAGTTCGTCGTGTTGAGTGTAGGCCCTTAGGCCGTGGGGTGTGTGGCGTGGGGTGGCCTGGTGGGGCATGTGGAGTGTGCTAGAACCCGTGGCTCGTTTTAGGGCATGCAGAGGCATGTTAGGACATGCTCAGTGTTGGAGCTTCTCGGGGCAGAGGCGTTCGACGGCCCTGTGTGATACATCCTGGACACCACGTCTGCCGCCAGGAGAATAGAATATGTTGGCAGGAGGCCCCCCACTCTCACTAACTGCACCCCTCCTCTAGGGACAACCTGTATCGAGTGGAGCTGGAGCCCCCCACATCCACGGAGCTGCGGTACCAGAGGGTGAGGAGGGGGTGCAGGCGGGAGCCGAGGGGGAATCGCTTGGGGCTCCCATTAGGGGGATCTGACACTGCACTGGGGAGCAAGCTGGATTCGGTCCTGCCTCGCACGGTTCCTAGGGCTGTCAGGGACTGCTCCCCTCACCAGCTCCCTGTGCCCCCAGAAACTGACCTGGCGCTCCAACCCCAGCGACATCAACGTGTGTCGGATGAAGGGTAAACAGGAGGTAAGTGGGCCCGGTCAACGCCCGGTCGGCCCTGGCAACGCCTCCAACCACCCCCCAATGCGTCCCAGCCACCCCTGGGGCAAATAGCCCTTTGCTTTCTCTCCAAGCCAGGACCCCCGGTGTTGCCGGTGCAGCCTGGCCACGCCCCCAAAATAGTCCTCAGCCGTTGCCACGCCCCTAGCCCTCATCTTGCCAAAGCTCTGCCCCTTCAAATACTCTTATTTCCCTCTCCGGCCCCTCCCTTAGTCATGGCCACGCCCTCAGCCATGCCCTAGTTTAGCACCTTCCTTTGGCCACGCCCACACCCCTGGCCCCTCTCCGCAGGGCCTCACCTCTGCTCTGATCCCTCCCTCCACCATAGCTATGTCCCATTGTGTCCGCCAGTCTTGGCTCCGCCCACGCTTATGACCACGCCCACCCCCTTTTTTTTCCCCCCCGCCTCAAACCCAGGGCGAGTGTCGAAATTTTGTAAAGGTGCTTCTGCTTCGGGACGAATCCACCCTCTTCGTGTGTGGTTCCAATGCTTTCAACCCCGTGTGTGCCAACTACAGCGTGAGTCACCGCCCTTCGAAGCCCTGCCCGCTACAGGTTCAGTCTCCGCGCCTTTGCTCACCGGCCCTCCACTGGTCACTGGTTGTGCCCTTTCTCCAGGCCACATCACCTCCTACAGGAAGCCTTACTGGATATACTCTCCCCACCCCCTCGCCCGGAGCTCCAGACGAGGCTTCCCAAGGAGGCCTGTACAGGCTGCAGCTTCTTAAGCTACAAGCCAGTTAGAGGATTAACTAAGATCGATCTTAGACCCAGATCAGTAAATTGAGCCCTAGAAAGGTTGAGTGACTGACCAAGTCACACAACATCCAAGGTGGCGTCAGGATTCCCCTTGGAGGAGGGGCTGGGGGAGCTAGGGGCTGCTAGGCATAGCAGGAGCTCTGTCACTCAGGCCCTGTCCCCCCTGCAGATGGACACACTACAGCCCATTGGGGACAACATCAGCGGCATGGCCCGCTGCCCCTACGACCCCAAACACGCCAATGTCGCCCTCTTCTCTGGTGAGTGTCCCCTAAGTCCGACCATCCGATGAGGCCCGGGCCCGGAGCAAGGCATGGCATTTTCTACTCTTGGAGTTGGGTCACTTAGAAAGTGGCTGGGAGACCATCTGTCCAGCTGTGAAACAGGCAGAATCTCCAGGTCAGGACTCAGCTGAGGTCGCGGCTCAGCTGGGGATTGGGGGTCAGCCTGAGGTCAAGGTCTCAGCAGGGTGGGGGCTCAGCCAGGGGGCTTAGACAGGGCTCACTCAGGCTCAGGGCTTAGTCTCAAAGATCAAGTTTTGACCCACCCAGCCCCTGACCCCTGGGATCTAATCTCATCTACCTCCACCCCCGCTCCCCCAATCCAGAAGGGATGCTGTTTACAGCCACCGTTACCGACTTCCTGGCCATCGATGCAGTCATCTACCGCAGCCTCGGGGACCGGCCCACTCTGCGCACCGTGAAACATGACTCCAAGTGGTTCAAAGGTGGGGCCATAAGGGCCGACCTGGCAGGGCTGACCTTTGTGAGATCCCCCTACCAGAATACCAGTCCCAGAGGAGACAGGCAGGGGGCTCTCATCTCATCTTTGGAAGCTAGTGGCCTCTTTGAAAGTAAACTTAAAAGGAAAAGATTTAAGTTGGACCTAAAGCAGAACTTGCTAGAAATGGGTGGCTTAGAAGCCTGGAATGGAACTCCACAGGAGGTATGGCAGGAGCTCAGCAATTCAACACCTGAGAGAGGAAGGTGGCAAAATAGTAGATGTTGCTGTTTCTGGAAAGTAGGCACGGTGATTTTAGGATTCTGACACCCACTCCCCCCACCCCCAAAAAAACCCCTCAGATCTTTGAGTCTCTTTTATTTTTTCCTGGTAATTGGCTGATGGCCTCCCTTCACTGTAAAAGCAACCACCCAGGCTAATGCGCTCCCAGCCCAGAAAGCCCCTCTCTTACGCCACGGGCTGGGTTCTGACCCCTCCTCTTCTACAGAGCCTTACTTCGTCCATGCGGTGGAGTGGGGCAGCCACATCTACTTCTTCTTCCGGGAGATCGCGATGGAGTTTAATTACCTGGAGAAGGTAAGGCCCGATTTCCCCTCCCAGAGGGGCCCATGCAGTGTAGCTGAGAGGCTCCAATCATGGGAAGTGGGGAGCAGAGGGGTGTCCCTGAATCTCCACCTGGGGTGAGAGGATCCCTCAGGACCTCAAGGCTGTCCACTCCAGCCAGGACCAGGGCCTTGAGGTTCAAAGACCTCTGGAGCAGCCTGCGTGCACACAGCCCTGGGTGAGGTTCTGGGGTCCGAAGTCAGATATGCAGGTGGGTTCCAGTCCTGGTGCTCCTTTGCTGTTCCCCTGTCCACCCATCCATCTGCCATCCACTTCTCCATCCTTCATCCACTGCCTATCCACCTGTCTGCTCACCGTCCCACTCAGCCACCCTCCCACTCACCTATCTGTTCTTTGGCCCACCCACACTTCCATCAAATCATTTGTCCATCTATCCATCCACTCAGCCCCTGACTCACTCATCCACCAACCCATCCATCCACACATCTACCCTTCCGTGCACCTCTATGTCTATCCACCCCCTCCAACTCATTGACTTCACCCATTCATCCATCTCCCTGTCCATTCACTCATATACCTAACCATCCATCCATCTGTCCTCCTACTGATCACCTCATCCATCTACCACCCGTCTCTCCATCTGCCTGCCCCCATCTCCTCCTTATAGCCTGCTCATCCATTCCATTCATCTTCCTATCCACCCATGGATCTACCCATCCATTGATCCAACATCTTCTTTATCTGCCTATCCATCCACTCATTCTCCTTGCAACCACCTGTTCATCCACTCACTATTCTTTCATCCAATCATCCACCTACCCATTCATCTACCCATCTAGCCATTCATCCATCCATCTGTCCACACACCCGTCCATCCATCCACATACCCACCCATCCATCCATCTGTCCACACACCCATCCATCCATCCACCCACACAACCACCCATCCATCCATCCGTCCACACACCCACTCATCCATTCCATCCCTCAATCCATGCAGACAGTTAAACACACAGACTACCACTTACAACTAGAGTGACTTTGGGCTGGTTACTTCCCTGTGTGCCTCAGTTTCCCCGTCCATACAATGGGGATATCAGTAGGCCTTCCCTTTGTACAGCTTTGAGGGGGATGCAAGAGATAGTGAAAATAAAGTGCCTGGCACATGGTGAGTGATCTGTATGGTGAATGGAGGTGACTGTGATTATGACTGTCGTGGTGGCTGTGATCATCATCACCTCCACATTTCTGTCCGGGAATCTGGTGCCTAGAGGGGTATGGTGACTGGCCAGGGACCCACAGTAAGCCAGGGCCAGGCTCCTCCATCCTGGGTGGCAGGCAGCACAAACTGCGGGCAGGCCTTGTGGGACACAGTGCTCAGGCCCCACTTTGCCACTGACCTGCCAGGTGGTGGTGTCCCGCGTGGCCCGGGTGTGCAAGAACGATGTGGGCGGCTCCCCTCGCGTGCTGGAGAAGCAGTGGACGTCCTTCCTGAAGGCGCGGCTCAACTGCTCTGTGCCGGGGGACTCCCACTTCTACTTCAACGTGCTGCGGGCCGTCACCGGCGTGGTCAGCCTCGGGGGCCGGCCCGTGGTCCTTGCCGTCTTCTCCACACCCAGCAACAGGTCAGCGGGCACTGATGGGAGCAAACTGGGGGCATTAGGTGGGCACGGGCAGAGACGTCCCATATTCTCTCACACTGCACTGAGCAAGACTGGACTCCCAAGAGGCCTGGGTCTCAGGTCAGGATGAGGCTAAGCCAGACACTGACCTTCCAATGCCCTTTGGTCAGAACTGGGCAGATGGTGGAGGTCCTCATCCTCTGCCTTTGGAGGAGGGATCAGGGAGGGCTTCCTGAAGGAGGGGACATTGGAACTAGGCATCAATTGGTGTGAGATGGAGGAAGAGGGAAGTGTTCCAAGTTGGAGGAATAGCATGTGCAAAGGCCCTGAGGCTGCAATGAGCTTGATATGTTTAAACTGTTGGAAGGAGGCCCATGTGGCTGGAGTGGAGGGAGCAAGGGGGAGAGAGTGGGATATGAAGGCAGGGAGGTGATGGGCTGTGGGGAGGAGCCTGGATTTTACCCTGAGAGCACTACGGAGCCATGGGAGAGTGAGGAGCAGAAAAGGGCATGGTTTGCATTTTTGAAAAGCCCCCTGGGGAATGGGTTGAAAGGAGGCAATAGTGGCCCCTGGAAGACTGGATGACCAGGCAAGTGACAGTGGGGTCCAGGGAGGGGCTGAACTATGGTCCTATCAGCGAACTGTTCAGGTGGATTGGACAAGTGAGCAGCAATCCCTGGCCCAGGGGACTGAACACCTGCCAGCTCCAGAGGACAAATGCTCTTCCACGTGCTTCCCCAGGGTGGTGCCCTCCCCCGCTGGGCTCACCACTCCCTTTCATCTTACTCTCTTCCTCCCCAGCATCCCTGGCTCGGCAGTCTGTGCCTTTGACATGACACAGGTGGCTGCCGTGTTTGAAGGCCGCTTCCGTGAGCAGAAGTCCCCTGAGTCCATCTGGACACCCGTGCCGGAGGATCAGGTGCCACGGCCCCGGTGAGAGCCCCTTCAATCCTGAGTTAGGTGCTGGGGTATGATCCTGACCCTGGGACTTCCAGGCACTTATTTAGCTGTTGCTGAGTTCAGCTGCACCTATTATGCAGATGGGGGAAACTGAGGTCCTTTGGGCAGGGCAGCAGGTCCCCTGGTGAATCAGAGCCCCTATGTAGGGGGCCTCAGCATCCACCCTGACCACCTCCACATCCCCACCCAGGCCCGGGTGCTGTGCGGCTCCTGGCATGCAGTACAATGCGTCCAGCGCTTTCCCTGACGAGATCCTCAACTTTGTCAAGACGCACCCCCTGATGGACGAGGCAGTGCCCTCGCTGGGCCATGCTCCCTGGATTGTTCGGACTCTGATGCGGTCAGTCCCTCCACGTGGCTGGGATCCTGGTGGCCAGGTCCGGGTAGGGATGAGAGCCCAGGCCAGGCTGGTGGGAGAAGAGGGAGGACAGGGCCAACTTCTGACACGAGGGGAAGGTGGAGAGCCAGACACTCAAGAAAGCTGAGCATGTGGCTCCGGGGCTGCCCAGAAAGATGGAGTCGGAAAGGCAGGAGAGTGTAGCTCAGTGGCAGAGCGTGTGCTTAGCATGCACGAGGTCCGGGGTTCTATTCCCAGTACCTCCATTTGATAAATAAATAAACAAACAAATCTAATTACCCTCCCCCCCCCAAAACTAAAACGTAAGACTAAAAAAAACGAAA